GCAGGGCTGGAGCCAGCGCAGCTGGTGCTTTGCGAGCCGCAGGGCCAGCTCTATGGGGATGCGCAGGATGGGCAGTGGTGCTGGGAGGCGGCTGGGGGGCGGTTGCAGGGCCAGAGCCAGCATGGCTGGTGCTTAATCTTTGCAAGCCGAGGGGCCGGCTCTACAGGGATGCGCAGGGTGAGCGGTGGTGCTGGGGGATGGCTGGGGGGGCTGCAGGGCTGGAGACGGCTCAGTTGGTGCTTTGCCTTTGCAAACTGCATAGCCGGCTCTACGGGGATGTGCAGGGTGGGCAGTGGTGCTAGGGGGTGGCTGGGGGGGTGGCTGCAGGGCTGGAGCCAGCGCAGCTGGTGCTTTGCCTTTGCGAGCTGCGGGGCCGGCTCTATGGGGATGCGCAGGGTGGGCGGTGGTGCTGGGGGACGGCTGCAAGGCCGGAGCTGGCTCGGCTGGTGCTTTGCGAGCCGCAGGGCCGGCTCTCTATGGCAGGGCAGCGGTGCTGGCGGGGCGGCTATGGGCGGGGGTGCAGCGGGCAGTTGACCTTCCATGGGCTGCGCCAGCTGGTGGTCTACACAGTGCTGACCTGCGCTGCCACCACCTCACCCTGTGCACCTACATGGCCATCCTGGAGCGCCTGGCTCACAGCACCTGCCTCCACCGCCCACCCCCGCGCAATCCAGCCGTGTAGATTTTTGGACAAGTAAGAAATCGAGATTGAATGTTGATACTCTAGCTGCAGCACTTGCCGTATAATTCAATATGAAGGATATTTCTTGTTCAGATATTTCCAATATATTGTTAGAAGATGATACATTGACAAAAAACATTCATTCAATGGAAAAGTACTCATTTAAATAATTAATAGGCATGTAAGCATAATTACAATATAAAATGTTATTGTTACAAATGTTTTTTATTATGCATTTATCATATTATAGTGTATTCTGTATTATTTTTGCAATAAATACAATGTTTATTTTATTTATGATATTTTTTTCTTCAATTTATTCATGTCCTCCTTTTTGTTGTAAAAAAGTTGGTCACCTTACTAATAAGACAATTATCGATTTGGTGAATTTCTTACAAGAATATGTCTCTAACATAGGCTTCAGTTTTTGTTCAACAGAGACTCTAGAGTGATAAAAAGAAAGAGGAAGAGAAAGGAAAAGAAAACAAAAGCACAAAATGACAAAAAAAATTAAGATGGCAACTAAATCTGCTAGATAGAAGCCCTGCCCCTGCATGGCATATAAAGCCATGGTGGCACAGTTGTTAGACTGCAGTATTGCAAGTTGACTCTGCTCACTGCCAAGAGTTCAGTCCTGACTAGTTCGGTTGACTCAGCTTTCCATCCTTCTGAGATCAGTAAAATGAAGACCAGGTTGTTGGAGGCAATTGCTCTGTAAATTGCTTAGAGGGGGCTGTAAAGCACTATGAAGCGGCACATAAATCTAACTGCTATTGCTATAAAAGAGGTGGGGTGTCAGTCACATAATTGCATTTGCTATCTTGATTTTTTTTGACCTCTCCATCTCATAGGGGCTACAGTACAACTGAATGGCCAACAACTGTCCACCATTGGACTTTTCCAGGCAATTGTTTCTCTTCCTTTATTCACTGAAAACTAAGAATCCAGCAGCAATTGCTCAATGTCATATTTTGTATATCACAACTGAGCCTTCTTAGTGGTGCTTCTCTTTTATGGAACGTCTAAACCAGGGGTGTCAAACTCAATTTCACTGAGGGCCACATCAGCATTGTGGTTGTCCTCGGGAGGGCTGGGTAGGTGTGGCCAGGGTGGGTGGAGCCTACTGGGTGGGCATGGCTGGAGTGAGTGTGGCCTACTGGTGGGCATGGCCAGTCTTCATCATTCGCATCAAGGGTGCCTGTGGGGGCCTGGGCAGGAGTGAGACAGATATGAAGGTCTCTGACAGAAGGGGATGGGACTGGGGCAAGCGCCAAGGCATGGTCCACTGGAGGAGCCTCACTGTTCTTCTCAGGCCATGCGAGGGGGGGCTTTCCGGAGCCCTGGGCAGCAGAAGTCAAACACTCAGCCTGGCCCTCAAGCACCCACGGCACCAAGCCCAGCCCCACTTCCCCAAGGGAGCCCAGCTGCACTTACCTCCTCCTCAAGGCTGCTGCTGCTGTGCTTGCTCTCCTTAGCCAGGTTGTTCATGATGTGTATGAGGGCAAAGTCAGAGGGAGGCCCATTCCCTCTCCATGGGAGGAGACCCAGCTTTATATCCAAAGCTTCCTTAGCAATAGGATGGGAGACCCACAGGATAGGCCAGGAAGAGGGAGCAAGGGGATGGTAAAAGGGCAGCAGGGTAGGACTCAGACAGGACTTCCCTCCTACCCTCCCTCTCTTTCCTTCTTTCTTTCCTTCCTTCCTTCCTTCCTCCCTTCCTTTCTTCCTAAGAATAGAGTGGTGGGAAAATATTTGAGATGAGGGAGGGAGAAAAACAGGCAACAAATGCACCTGGGAGGTGTCACCCTTTGTGAGGAATGAAAAAATACACCATTGTCTGAAAGTGGCCAGCACATGGCCCTTGCCTACTTCACATATCTGGCTTGGTGGGCTTTGGGGAAGGGGAAGCCATGAGCAATGTGAGAGCCGATGTTACCTGCGCAATGCCGCCCAGCCCCTAACTTGCCTGATTTCGGCAGGCAGCGAGGCGCTCTCCTCACAGTGCCAATAGGCTGAGCCAGGCAGCGCGAATCCGAAAAGAAGCACGACGCCACCCTGCCCCCAGCCTGCCCGGTTTCGAATGGCAGCAGGGCACTCTCCTTACAGCGCCAAGAGGCTGAGCCAGGCGGTGCAAAGCTTGCCAGCTTTGCACCTTGCTGCCTTCTGAAATTGGGCAGGCTGGGAGCTGAGCGGCAGCATGCTTCTTCTTGGATTCCTGCCACTTGGCTCAGCCTCTCGGTGCTGTGAGAAGAACACCCTGCTTCCTGCCGAAACCCCTCCCCTGGAGCCCATCAAGCCGGATATGTAAAGTAGGCGAGGGCCATTTGCTGGCTACTTCCAGGCGATGGTCCATTTCTTCATTCCTCACAAAGGGTGACACTTCCCCAGTGCGCACCCAGGAGGTGAGGCCAATGCGGCAGGGGCTGGTTCCTCGCTGTTTCCAGACGGCCTTGTGGAGCTAAGACTGAATGCGTTTCAGCATAGATGGCCACCACATTGGCTCCTGGGCGGCCTGGGCCAGGACCAAGGCGGAGGGGGCCATTCCCTCACTGTTTCCAGGATGGCTTTGCGGGCCACATGAAACCACATCGCGGGCTGCATCTGGCCCCCGGGCCTTGTGTTTGACATGTCTGGTCTAAACTATCACTTTCCTGCTGGGTTTTCTTAGAGCTGTAAAACATGACTGTCTGACAGCATAAGAGAAACTCTTAAGGTTTGATCTTATGGATAATACTGCTATTGGTTTTTTGAGGTTAACACTTGGATGCTTTAATTCCTTTTTCTGATTAGTGTACACTGTTTAGAGCCTAACAAATGGAGTGGGGAGGAGAATGTAGAAATTTTAACAAGTTTGCAAACAAACAAAAGGATTAGAATCTATATGGGGAAAAGATCCAGATTCAGTTAGAACTATGGCTCAGTCCATAAGATTTGCCTTTCTCAGGAATATTCATAGTCTAATGATCCTTAATGGCATGTATGCAAAAACCAAAGCCAAAACCAAACCAAAACGCTAATGACAGCAATATTGAATGACGCTGCTAAATATCTCTGTGGAAGCTCAGAAAAAAAATGTATTTTAAATGTTTTCAGTAAAGTTAGAGATCTATTTCACTCACAGCATAGTTCTGTAGGATGCTGTGCTGACCTTATTCCCTGGATGGCTGAGCAGAGATGATTGCATGCCTTGTTGCTTAAAAGTCAGGTAATTAAATCAATGTTTGATTCTACCTTGAAAGAATGATGTGCAGATGAACTCTCTGTGAATTGCAAATTGCTTAAAATTAAACAGTTGCTTCTTGATACAAATACTTTCGTGCCTTGAAATGATTTTATTGTGTAATTAGGCAAAAATAATAATCCGACAGCTATTTCTTTGACTTGGAAATGGCTTGGAATATTTTTTTCCCCTAAGTTCACCAGAAATAAAGAACATTGTATGAGCATTAGTATATAGTTTCATAAAATGAAGCTCCATGTTCTATATTTTCATTGTTTAGGATTTCAGTGTTCGGAAAAGAGTGGCTCTTTAGCTAATATCGGCTAAGGTAATACTAAAATCAAATTTAATGACTTATTATTTGAAGTTCTTGGATTAAGAAAACAAATATTTGATATCACTTTCAGTTTTATGTCACAGGGAGACTAGCCTGGTTTTTCAATTAAAAAATTGGACTCAAGTCTAAGGACAGAGGTTCTTTCAAACTATCCAAATCTTTTAAAAATTCCAACTCACTTTAAGATACAAGCACAGCAAAGGATAGGAAAGGAAAGAAAAAGAAAAGACACTCCACGGTGATGATTCTATCCCAATCTGTTTGGTAATATCATCCATATTGGTCTATTTTGCCACAAGAAAACATTAGGAAATCCTTTCATTTACATTTTTGATCTCCAAAGCATTGGGTCTCGTGCCAGAATGGATCCCAGTTTCCGCATAGGTAGATTGTGTTTCTGGGTTGAATGGAATGCTCCAGAGCTGGACTGTTCCCACCTGGCATGTTTGACACGTGTCTAGGAATAAATGCATTCGGAATTCTTCATTATCCTGTTGCCTGTTTCTGTCTTGTGTGCAAAACACTGTGCCTGTTTATTTTTGTCATATGCTTCAGTTCATTTCTCCAATTCCACTATTGTTGAAAAAGTAAACACTAAGTTACACCACAAGGTAATAGAGATAAAGTGAGGCAGCTTCTCCTGGGCCTTTTTCTGTAGATGTTTGGGGAAAGAAACCATGGTTCTCCTGTGACCTTGTATTTGTTTTTCTGTTGAATATAGAATTGTGGATAATATCATCTGCCTTTCTCTTCTCGCCTAGATGTCATTGCCCTCAGATGAGGTGGAAGATGGCTTCTACCAGAAACCTGAGAACTCTCTAGTTGGTTCCTATATATGGAAAAAATACAAGGGAGACATCACCTGGCATTCTGCCTCAGTCATCAAAATATCACAAGATGCCTTTGGACAAAAGAAATGGAAAGCTTCAGAAAACAATGCATGCTTTTCAAAATTAATTTTAGAAATGTTTATCCTTAAGTGCGGCAAAAATGTATCTGAGGAAATCCTTAAGGGAAGAGGTCTGAGGTTGACAACTCTATAATGTGTCTTGTTCTTGTCAGCTCCAGAGATTGGAAGTCTCAATCCTCCTAATGGTATTTCTATTCCCGGTGCTAAGAAAGGATTAAAACTTCCTCATACTCATACTTCAGTAAACTTACTGTAATCAAAGCTACAGTAGAATTGAAACTGATTCTATAATGATTGGATTGCAGACTTAGAAAACTTTTGGGATGGATGGATGCATCAACACTTGGCTTCAAATAGGCATAAAATTTCATACTCATCCCCTGCGGTACCTTTTGTTTGTACAGCAAAGAAACCTAAAAATATTTCCAAAGTGTGCTTTGGGGCATTTTGCAGCCTTCTGCTTATTTATTTTTCTGTGTTGCTGTTAGTTTAATGTTACTGACAAAACTGCAGTAAGTACAGGGTTGAGACTGATATCCGCCAGGGCCCTTTGCAAGAAACAGAGTGGGAGAATTTTTTTCAGCTTTCCCAAGTTTCTTTCCTTACATTTTAATTCTCTGTGTGAAGGTGGTCCTTGACTTATGACCATTTATTTAACACCTGTTTGAATTTACAACGGTGCTGAAAAATCTGAGTAACAATAGATCCTCACACTTACCGGTTGCAGTGTCCCCATGGTCACCTGATCAAAATTTAGGCACATGGCAATTGGCATGCGTTTATGACGTTTGCAATCATTTGTGAACTTCTCAGGGTGCTTCCAACAAGCAAAGTCAGTGGGGGAAGCCAGATCTGCTTAATGACTGCAAAAAATGTCATAAAATTGAGTGTGACTCACTTAACAATTTCATCAGTTAGTGATTGAAACTCCAGTCCCTATTGCGACCATAAGCGAGGGTTACTTGTATGGATGTTTATTTGTCTGCATTGTACCTGATTGTGAAGGTCAGTTTGTGCAACAGAGCTATTTGCCAAAAAAGATGGTCCAAATAATACATATTTTCTGTTGCTCTACCCTCTAATAGGAAATTTTGCCCTGTCTTAATTTGCAATATTATGCTTTTATGCTGAAATCCTTTTAAAAAAAAAACTTAAGATATTTCTAGAATGTTGCCTTTTAATCCCATATTATATCTTTTCTACTGACAGTATTTATTTATCTATTGATTAGCAGTTATTTTGATAGAATGATGAGCATGTAAATGTGTGTGTTGCTGATCTTAAGCACAAATTTTATTATATGCCGATGTATCAGAAAAGTATGTCCTAAAGCCTGCAGTTACATTTCATCCAAATTCCTGTTCCCTGTTTTTTAGGAATGGCTTGAAAAAAATATATACTATTGATGAAAAATGAAGGTGCCAATAGCAAAACCGATTTTAGAATATATAGAAAATACATTTTAAAACCACAGTATCTTATAATTGTCCCTGTAATAGGGAAAATAATATGTATAAATGGAATAATTAGAAATATGTCTGCAAAATATATTAATTTCTCCCATCTGCGACCTCTACTTTTAACATCCGAATGGAAGGCAGAAACCTAAGACCTACACTTTTGCCAACATGGAATTGCAAAAATAATTGAATTTATATTTGCTAAGTTGAGTGGAAAACAAGAGAACTGTGTTGTGTGTGCATGAGGCAATATAATAACAATAACAATAATAATAAAGTTGGAAGGGTCCTTGGAGGTCATCTAGTCCAACCCCCTGGTCAGGCAGGAAACCCAATACCATTTCAGACAAATGGTTGTCCAATCTCTTCTTAAAGACTTCCAGTGTTGGAGCATTTACCGCTTCTGGAGGCAGGTTGTTCCACTGGTTAATTGTTCTAACTGTCAGAAAGTTTCTCCTTAGTTCTAGATATCAGTCTCCCACTGGCATTTTTTATTTAAAACTTCTTTTATCATATTTCTTTTGTACTCATATCTTCCTGTTTCAGGATAAGCTTATTCAGACTACAATAAAAATGTGTCTTCTCCATTAAAACAATTTGTCAAGATTTGTCAGTAGCATTGCTGAAACATCAATGAGGAATCCTCATTGTAAATCCTCTGATTTTTTTACAGTGTTTAAACAAGGAATATAAAACTCAAATCTAACATTTCCTTGCATTTTCTTTTTACTTGTACAACATAATTTTAAACCTTCAACATAGAAAATACCTGGGAGCAGTATTTTATCATGCTTATAGCAGAGATTTCATTGCTCATTTTATTCAGGGAAAATATTCAGATCCAGGGATTTTGCTGAGTTTCAGACATGAGATATGATAAAAAATGTCCCCCAAAGTGTTGGATTAAATTGGGAGAGAATCAAGAATTCTGAAATTTTTCAGAATTGTCGAATCAGTAAGCTGATTGAGAATTTCCTTCCTCCCTCCCTCCCTCCCTTCCTGTCCGTCCATTCATACATGACAAAATATTGAAGTCTTATCTAGTAATTTCTTTTCCTTTTATAGTCACTATACAATATAGCCTAATTTGTGTGCCAGCAGATGGTGCTAATGTTTCATAAAGTACATATCTGTTAAAGGAGTACTGCTATTCATTTTTCCCTCATATAGTAGTAGGAGAAATAGCAACATATTCTGTGTTGTGTGTTCACATGATGCAGTGCATAGACTTGGGTTTTCTTCTCAGAGGATTCACTGGATAATGTTTATGACCCTACCTCTCTTTTGTCCATGCTTACAATTACATGGAGTTGCCAAGTCTGGCAACTTGGAGGAGAGAAGCAAGAGTCGAGAGCTATTTGCAATCAGAATTCATCTGAGGAAAATCTCCCCATTCTCTTTCCCACATAATTTAATATCCCTTCTTTAAAATATAAAACAGAACTGAACTGCACTGCACTCTTTGAAGCTTGAGTAAATGCAAGAAATCTTAACTCGTAAGGAAATCACAGATGCTTTTGAACAGTTGGAGCTGAGGTGGAGCCGAGGTGGCGCAGCAGTTAGAGTGCAGTACTGCAGGCCACTTTAGCTGACTGTGTTCAGCACAACGGTTCTCAACCTTTCTAATGCCATGACCCCATAATACAGTTCCCCATGTTGTGGTGACCCCCAACCACTTATACATCACCGGGTGCCAGGGCATGGTCAAAGAAAAGGGGAAAAAAATGGCGGACAGCCTTGTTTGGCGACCCCCGTGAAATGATCATTTGACCCCAAATGGGGTCCCAACCCACAGGTTGAGAACCACTGGTTCAGCAGGTCAGCGGTTCAAATCTCACCGGCTCAAGTTTGACTCAGCCTTCCATCCTTCCGGGGTAGATAAAATGAGGACCCAGATTGTTGGGGGCAATGTAAACATATATATACATTGCTTACTGGTGTACACCGCTTAGAGAGTGCTTGCACTTAAAGCGGTATATAAGTCTCATAAATAAATATAAGTATATAAGTCTCATAAATAAATAAATAAACAGCTCACCTTTTAAGCACAGGGTTCAGCCTATTATAAACTTATCAGTTAGGTTTGTGCAGCATTAGAGTCAATGCTATTTACCTTCTTAAAGTACAACAATTATGCTATTCTCATTAAGGCTGATCTCAGGCAGGCTCACTGGAAATGCCAGAAGGCATTTTGGCACGTGCATAGTACATGTATAGAAGTCTCTTCTAGTTCCGGGACATGTCAAAAGGAGTCATTGGAATATGACATCGGCTTTGTTTTACTCTTTCGAAGTTTGCTGAAAGGAATAGTATTTATTAGATACCTTTAAGGGGAAAAGAAGATATGAGGCACAAGTATCTATCCTATCCTATCCTATCCTATCCTATCCTATCCTATCCTATCCTGTCCTGTCCTGTCCTGTCCTGTCCTGCCCTAGCCTAGCCTAGCCTAGCCTAGCCTAAACTAGCCTAGCCGTACACCCGCCCGCCCATCCACCCACCCACCTATCTATCTATCTGTCTGTCTGTCTGTCTGTCTGTCTGTCTGTCTGTCTGTCTGTCTGTCTATCTATCTATCTATCTATCTATCTATCTATCTATCTATCTATCTATCTATCTAATTTAGTTACTGGCAGTCTCACTCATGGAGGGTACTTGGTAGAAAAGGGCCTTACTCAGAGCCCTGAAGACAAGAAGAATAAACCAAGGTTTGTGATCTAATAGTTCTATCCCTATTCTAGAAAATAGTTCTATCCCTATTTCTCATGACCTGATTTTCAAGAGGAATAATTAAGGAAGAGAGGGAGCAGAGGGAGACATTTAACTCTAATAAACTTCCTAATAAAAAGCTAATTGTAAGACTAAGTATAATCTTCCTTCTGAAGATGGGAAAGCCTTGAATAGTCCACAGAACAAGTAATTGCATTACATCTCATATAACCAATTCTTCCAATGGACACAATTCAAGCTTAGAATATAAAGCAGCTTGGATAAAATCATGTTAATTAGAACATTTCTTGATCTGATTATTAACATATAGAAGCTCATTGTGTGAATAAAAGATAATTTGGTAGAGGCACTGAATATTTTTCAGCAAATATCAAAACAGAGTTCTGTATGTTTCTGATGACAGCTGCACAAACACAATTTAATTTAGTCGATCCAACAATTAAAATCCGGCGGCCTTCATTGGAGAGAAAAATAAACACAGGCCCAGTGCTATGTGAGTGGTTTTCAAAAAGAATCAGTCTGAGAAGAGACAGCCTTTTCAATTCATTGCAACCCCAAAGAGGAGAGAGAGAGAGAGAAATTATAGCCATTTTGTTAGTGGCTCATTGCTGACTTCTCCCTGCAGCTGACCTAGTCAGAGGAAAGCACAGGTGAGAAACTGTGGAGTGAAACTACAAAAAGGAATTATTTTTATTGCCTACACCATAGATGTATGGGAAGTCAGCCCCCCCCACAAAAGGAAATATTTTGTGGAATATTAAAAAAGAATATTATATTTCCCCAAAAGATCTTAAAGGCAGAAAAGCAGGCCCTTTTTTTAAAAAAAAAAAAAATTTTTAACCAACAAGACAAAACAGAACAAAACAAAACACAACACACATACACACCATATATATATACTCCTCCTTTTTTTACAGCAATTACATAACGGTAATCTAATATTTACATTTCCCCCTTATTCTTCTTTAGAATATTTGTCCTTATAGCCCCGTTATTTCTTATTTACATTTTTCTTTCTTCATGTTCTACTTCTTACTAGGAATAATTCATATTATTATTATTATACATTATTATACACATATTTTCACTTTTGACCTTTCCATATTTATTCTCCTCTATTAATTCTAGTCTCCAACCAGACATACAACTTGTTCCATACTATATAATACTATGTGTCTTCCTTTTCTTTTATCTCTTTTGTTAATTTGTCCATCTCAGCACAGTCCAGGATTTTTCTTATCACTTCTTCCTCTGATGGTATATTCTCATTTTTCCAAAACTGTGCATATGCTATTCTTGCCGCCGTTATTATATGTAAAATTAAGTACCATATTTCTTTACTATATTTTTTATTTAAAATATCCAACAAAAAGATCTCTGGTTTCCAGTCTACGGGTTGGTCTATTATTTCTTGGATCCATTTTCTTATTGTAGACCAGTATTTTTTTGCAACTGGGCATGTCCACCATAGATGATAATATGTTCCATATGCTTTTTTACATTTCCAGCATGTTGGCGAATTGTTCTGGAACATCTTGGCGAGCTTAGCTGGTGGAAGATGCCATCTGTAAAACATCTTCAACTGGTTTTCCTTGAATGCCGCCGACATAGTCAATTTTATATTTATTTCCCATATTTTTTCCCATTTCTCCAATTCTATATTATATCCGAAATTTTTTACCCATCTAATCATTGTGTCTTTGACAACCTCATCTTCCATTTTATATCTCAATAGGTATTTGTATAAATTGCTAATTAATTTTATTTCTGTTCCATGTATAATTTTATCCAATTTTTGCGGCTCTTTTTGGATTTTATATAATTTTTTGTCCTCTTTATATTTAGATTGAATTTGTGTAAATGTCCACCAATCAATCTCTCTGCCAATGCCTTGTTCCAATTCTTGTTTTGTTTTCAAATTTCCCTGTTCATTTACTAATTCCTTGTATCTAATTATCTTATTTATATCCAGTAGATTTGGGTGTTTCAGAGCTTCTGTTGGGGATAACCACATTGGAATTCTTGTATAATGTTTTTGTTTTATTTTTTCTCAAGTCTGTAGCAATGCATTCCTAATTATGTGTCTTTGAAAATATCTGTGTATTTTATGTTTTTCGTCCCATAGGAATGCATGCCACCCTGCTTGCAAGTCATGTCCTTCTATTGTTAAAACTCTAGTATTTTTCAAATCCATCCAATCTTTTAGCCAAGTTAAGCTCGATGCTTGGTAATATATTTCCCATTCTGGTAATGCCAATCCCCCTTTATCTTTTGTATCTTGCAAGAGTTTTAATTTAATCCTGGGTTTTTTCCTTTGCCATATAAATTTAGTGATCAATTTATTTAAATCTTGAAATAATGTTTTCCCTAATT